ATATAACAATAATTTTTTATATTCAAATTATGTTCTGCACACAAAGGAAATTTTTAGAAACTAAAGTTAGTTTGTATTTCTGTCAGAGAAAAAAATATAAAAAATTATTAATATATACATAAATTCACATTATATATATAATAATGGAGTATTAGAAGTCTTAGTTTGTTCTTCTCCAAATTGTTTGATATTCTAACTACCTATAATATCATTCTCTTGAACTTTTTCGTGTTTTATTTGTTCCTAACATAATTCTCTCATTCTCTTTTCCAGTTTCTTTTCTATTATGCTGCATGCATTAATATTTTCAATTCATATTAAAAATTTCAATCTACAGTGTCCTTATACGTCATTCGTCCCATAGACAATTCTGTTTCATTTTAGAATAATATGAGAATATAAAACATTTCTTACAGGTTTTTATACCACATCGGTACGTGCTGGCTATTTTCTTGCCATCAGACTTTCCTTTGCAGAATTTTAAACCACATGGATACCAACCAATACATAACTCCAAAGAGCATGTGCAAGGTGCCCAGAGATTTGATGTGTCAGCGCATTTGGAGACCAATAGTGATCTCGTATCATTTGTGCCCGATTGTGGCATAGTTGTAAAGTTATATACAGCTGCCATGAGTAACTCTTCCGAAGAACCTTTGCAATATCATAAAAATTATATGATAGCTTTACAGTTAATTATTATATAGCTTATAATATACAAATATAAAACTAACAGTACTAAGTTGGCAGATAATTACCTGGTCTTTGTATCCACTGTTTTATATCATCGTTCCTAGTATAAGTTGATCCAGCTGCTTCTGTGCAAAGTGTAGCAACATGCTTCGAGATCTCTTTAGATTGAGATACATCCAGAAACAAGTCCATTGTATAATTGACATGACCTCTGTCTTCTTCCGCTACACGTACAGTGCCTGGATTTTTCTGACGCAGTTTGGACATTGCGTCAGAAGATATAAAATCTACTTTATAAAAATGATTCACAAAACACATGACTTGATATTGATTTTGTCCGCGTTCCTCTTCACCAAGTACCAAAGCTTTTATAACTTGAACTTCCTACGATTTATGTGATCAATAAAGAATATATAGTTTCTAAAAATAATTTATCAGGAAATTCAGTTTATGTTTCGGAAATACTTACATTTTTGAAATCAATGAGTTGTGTGACTAGCGTGCCATCGGAACGTTGGAATTCTAGAGTAATCAAATCTTCTGTAACATTAGACGAGATTGTTTCCAGAAGAATATCACCACCCTGTAAATAAAGTATCGTTCATTTAATATTAATAATAGTATTACCCCTTTAAAGTCTAGACCAATTTGTTGTAGGAAAAATATCCCACACTTATGTCGAAGAGTATTAGAAATTAATTTGAAAAAAAAACACTTCTATAATCAATTATATATCGGAAAAAGGGATATCTTTTTATCAAAATTTTGTGTACATACATAAAGCAGTGTTATTGTTTATTATTGATAGAGATACGCGGTTATGTATATTATCGTACCTGATTTTTGACGTTTATGAGCAAATGTGTAGTGCATACATGGCAAAAGTATTGCAATACGACACAAGTCGCGAGAAATTCGTTGAATCTCTTCATTGTCGCATGTTGTTACTATCGACACTCGTCTCCTCGTCTGAGCCGATAGCGATGAACCGATATTTGTGCTTAACAAAAAGAAATCACTCCATTGAATATAACCTAACGTAGCAAACAGCTGTCTTTTCACATCCTTCCATGGCCACCATGTTTTCGGTTCTCAGCCAAGCAACCAATGGATATAAAGAGACAAAAGTTCGCATTTTTTAAAAACTGAAACGCAAAGTTTGAAAATCTGCTTGGCTAAATTATCGTGATGTGATTATGTCGTAACAAGGATAATATTGTGGTTTAGAATAAATAATCAAAATTATTTGACGAAAAAGATGATAGAAAGATGAAAAAGAACGATGATAGATATGAACTAATAAAAACAAACATTCGTAGAAGGAAGAAGAATCGAAGATGAAAAAATGATCTTACAGGAATAATATCGTTTCAATATATTTTTTGATATTTGAATCTACATTTATCATCATTATTGAAACGAAATATTCATATGATAATGATAAAAATTATCTTGTTTAATATATTGTCTTATATTCTTGATAAACTACTGATGAATATGCATGTAACATTTTCTTTTAGATGTGCGACAATACTGTTAGTGTTGCTTTGCGTATCCGACCATTATTGATAAATGAAATTAAAAAAAAAAATGTCAAATATGCTTAGATGTTACATGGAGAATCACAAATTCTTATACGTAATACCGATAGGCATTCACGTTTAATTATGTCTGTCCTTCTAACATTGGACAAGAGGAGTTTTACAATAGTGCGATTAAACGATTGATAAATGATATTTTTCAAGGTAAATATTTCTATATATTCTTTATAATTTGAAGATATTCGTTTTTATTATATTAAAAATAAATAATTTCTTTATCAGGCTATAATGTAACCATATTAGCCTATGGTCAAATAGAAAGTGGCAAATCTTACTCTATGGGCCTTAATTACGATGGCTCGAAACAGAAGGACGTAACGCAAAGACTAATACATGATATTTCAAAAAAAATTAAATCAGAGAAAGACCGCAATTTTAAAGTATCTATCACTTTCATGGAATTGTACCAGGAAAATCTTTATAATTTATTATCCAATAAGTCGAGAAACGAATCCCTAGTAAATATCAGAGAAAAAGGAGAAGATATAAAAGTTATAGATATCAGCGAAATTTAAATTTAAAATGCCAAAGGTGCAATGTTACAATATATGGCCCAGGGAGAGGCCCATAGGAAGACGTATTGCAATATATAGCCTCTCCCTGGGTCATATATTGTAATGCGTCTTCGGCATTTTGAACTTTCATTTCACTGATACTCATAACTTTTATATATCGTGTAATCGGCGCAACTGCCATTCTCACACCTTATGTCATTTTAACACAGTTTATACATTATACTATTCCAAATAATAGAGTTATTATTCCGTCAAACAATATATGATTTGATGCAACAAAACTATTAAATTTTTATTCAATAAAATTATGTTTCGTATAAAATTATGTTTTTGTAACGAAACAAATATAAGTCAAATAAATAGATATATTAAATTTAAAGAAATCTTTTTCTCTGTGTACTTTTAGACTTAAGATTTTAAGAATACTTATAATTGTGTGTATGCAGTTCTTGAATTTTTAATTAGTATTAATTGTATTATCTCTTATCTGATTATATTTGTCGGATATATTGCTATTATTTTAGAATTTCAATGTTTATAGTTTGCGGATTACCGAAGTTGATTGATAATTCACACGACGTTGGTGATTCTCGAGCCGCAAATATATTCCGAAATTTATTAGGAAAGTATTAGGCGAATATGATGAGATAGGAGGTAACGCTATCTGAAATATAAAATTACCGACGGAATAATTTCACCGACCGTCGATACTATAACACACTATATACCTGCAAATAATAATTATGCCACTTCTTTCTTCATATATTCTTCTAATAGTTTCCAACCGTCGATAACTTATTAGTTTTCGTGCCACCTCTTTCCTGATATATTCTCCTATTACTTTTCAACGGTCGATAAGTTGTGGTTGGTAACTTTGCTAGTTTGTGCTACCTCCAACTCAATCATATATTCCTGTTACTTTCCTAATATTTCAGAATACGTTTCCAGCGAAGAAAGATTATCAATGTCGGCAATTAGCGAACTACAAACGTTTAAAATCTGAAATAATACTGAAATATTAAAGAGATATAATAAAATAAAAGATAGTATTAAAATTAAAATTAAAAAACTGCAATTGCAAGCACTTCTGATATTTAAAACCTAAAAGTTTGAATTGTGAAAATTTAATCTTCAAAAATTGATAAGGCAAAAAGAATATTATTAGATAAGACGGAACGCAAATAAAATATCCAAGAGCATTATAATACCAAAAACTCTAACTTTATTATTATTGTTATTTTCTTTCTTTCGTGTACATAGTAATGTTATAATTTAAAAAAATAGGCAATAAGATCATTGCTGCTACAATTAAAGATGCTTAATTAAAATGTGACATATATAAATTCTAAGATATAAACTCAAAAATACATTGTTAACAATATAATAATCATGAAATAGTTTAATTTTAATATTTATTAAATTTATTCAATTTGGGTTATCATTATTGTATTATGATTAATTAATATAATATCATGATATAATAAATATATTATTATATTAATATTTAATATATTCACATATAATAATATATAGATATATTAATTTATTCAATCAAATGTGATTTCAAAATTTAATATAAATGTAACTTTGAAGCCATTAAATCGTTGTTAATTTTTAAATGTACGCACACCTATGCATTAAAATTTATATTAATTTATATTATAAATACAATACATTTCCAAATATTATAATATAATATTTAAATAAATAATATTATGATATAATATTTAAAATTTTAATCTCTTTTTTAAACGACATCATAAACGTATGCATCAATTCTCTTTTTACTTAGATATTTCTTACATTAGATTCTTTCAAGATCATTATTTACATTCACACAGCTGCTACTTTGAATTTAGTAAATAAAACATATCAAGAAACGTCAACATTAAAACTTTATTCAATCAATTTAGAAGCCATACGTTTTGATAAAAACCAACTAAAATAACATGTCTTTTTTTTTTTAATAAAAATGTCTTATAAAAAGACTTAATCACATATAATATTAATATTATAAGTATAATGTAGTAAAATACACTAAAATACACACTGTAGCATAAATATACAAGTCTCTTATAAAATATAAATCCTTATATAAAAAAATTAATAAAATTAGTTTATTTCTCTTTTTTATATCAAATTGCTCTTTTTAGATAATGTAATAAAAATTATTCAATCTTTTATTTCAGATAATTGCCTCCACGTTCAAAAAAGTATTATATTTACAAACTCACCCAATCTTCTCTTTTGAAAAAGGGAGATATTTTTGTCCTTGTTGAACTGTGTATCGATTTTACAGAAAAAAAGAGATTAATAATAATATATTAATATTTGAAATTTACTCCAAATTTATTCTGAGCTTGTTTTTTTCTTTTCTGCGGTTCAATGCCTTTATGTAATAACAAATATTAGGATAATATATGAACATTTTTAACGTAAAGCAAAATAACAATTCGTGATATTCCTTTTATAAATTATTCGAAATCGAAGAAAGCTTAACAAATTGACGGGTGTAGTAAAATATTGCAATCTCCAATATTGATTATTGGTTATTGTTATCAACTTTTTGATTTCCCAACAAGTTATATATCAACCACAATATTGAATATAAACAAACATCTGTAATTCTTAAATATCTTGAAATGACGTTCACCTGTTAAAATAATAATTTTTTTTTTACAAATATTTATGAATTTACAAGAAAACTTGCTGATAAGTCTAAAAAAGTGTGTATCATGGATAATCAACTGGCCATAACAATTCTAATATCAATGTTTCTTGAATACGAATGAAAAATTTTTCCTACTGTTATCAGTACAACATATAGTTACTGATCATAAACTGATACATTTATATAAATTTTAAAATTTACATAGAAAATAGAAATTACGCGATTGGGTTCTTATTAAGAAGATGTAACGAAGAAGAAATAAAGAATGATTAGATCTGTGTACTCATTTAAAAAAATAATTTGTTCCTCCAGATATTCATCTATTTCTATTTAGTTAAATTCCAGCTTGCATTATTGTTCCTCATTAATCTTTGCTGAACTAAATATGTTAATTTTTTTGATATTTTTTATGTTTAAATAAACAATTAGTTTTTCAATAATAATAAAGAGACATATTTTATATACATTTTGTTAATCATCACCATTATTAATATTTAATCATCATTATTGTACGTTTTAATTATCACACTGTTATCGTATTTTATCATTTTTTCTCATTTAACTTATATGTTATATAATTAAGTCTGTATTCCTTGATTTTCTCATATCTGTCTCATTAAAGTGCACAATACATCATCATGCGTTTATTTACCGTCAAAAATGTGACCAGCTGTTCGCCGAGGTCATAGACAAATATAAATCCAATATAAAAAGGGAATAGAAATTGTTGTCTTCATTCCCCGTTTTATTTTCGACCCGGCTCGTACTAATTGTTAAGCATGTTGCCGTTAGCGATTTTCTTGTTCGTCGGCGTTCTCGCACAACGTAAGTAAAACCGAATCGTATAGTTCAATGAAATATTATTTTCGTTATTATTGCTTTCGATAAACATTTTGTTCATATCTTACTACTTTCATCGAATGCTCTGAAATCATATATGTATTTATGAGAGCTATATATAATTGTCATATACTTCGATTTACAGAGTCGTTCGCTGACGAACCTGAGGCAATTGTCGGTGGCACACCTGCCGCATTAGGTGAATTCCCATGGCAATGCTCCTTAAATTTGAATGGCCAACATATGTGCGGCGGCTCCATCATTGCTCCTACCAAGATATTGACCGCTGCCCATTGCGTGAGTTCCATAATAAATGCTAACAGTTTAAGAATTGTTACTGGAACCATCGATTCCTCTAGAGGACAATTCCACGCCGTGCGAAGCATTCGAATACATCCAAATTACATGGACGGTGCAAGATATGCTTGGGCAAATGACGTCGCTGTGATCACTGTAAGTCGATATATTACAGAATATATTTTGGTACAATAATTCTTTCCTCATTTTGTTGCTTTTGTTTCAATTATTCATTTATCTGTTTTTATCGTTTCAGCTTCAAGCGCCAATTCAATACAATCAATATCAATCTCCCATCGCTTTGGCCGACTCCCAGCCAGCTGCCGGTACGCTGTGTACCTTGTCCGGATGGGGTAAGACAAGCGCAAATGGTCCACTCGCGCGAACTCTTCTGAAGATGAACCAGTCCGTGATCTCGCTGACTCAATGCCAGCAGAGACATGGTATGCCTTTGAATAACAGCCACTTGTGCGCTCTCAACCGTCGTGGAATTGGTGCTTGCCAGGTGAATATCCAGTAAAATCCATCATTGAATATGGAAATAATCTCCTATATTCTGGTAGATGATTAATCAATTAGTTGTTACATTATGATTGCTGAAAATGATTACGAGACAAAATTATATAAAAAATTAATGGAAATGTTTCTCTGCATTTTTTAGGGTGACAGTGGCGGTCCTTTGATCGCTAACGGCAAACAAATCGGTATTACTTCTTGGGTTGTTCCTTGCGCTGCTGGTGAACCAGATGCCTACGCCAACGTCTTTAGTTTACGCAACTTCATTCTATCATCATAGGCAGACACATCTTGACACGATATGAGGCATAAACTAGCATAAACCTATGCGATTTATCATTTAAGTTCACGCACCGAAAGACTATGCTATTGCGATGTCGAAGTGCACGCAATGCGGCAGTTGCATCCTGAAAATCAAAGAAACTTATGTATTTCAAATGTTAACAAATATACATTATGATTAAATCTAACAGACTGATATTTCTTTGATAAATGTATAAAATGCCTCTCGCTATAAAAATTTTTATTGAGAAGAAATATAGTATAATTTAATTCTTTAATAAGAATTAGAATATGTGAGCGCGCATAATAAAACTTGATTCAATCAAAAAAAACTTTTTAATGGTTACTCAATCGTTAATTCAACACAATGACTAATCATAAAATTCTTTTTTGTAAATCCTAAAACTTATATACAAAACAGAAATCACATATTTGTATTTTTATTAAGTTTTTATTGAGTCTACAATAGGTGTAGCAAGCTTTTAGCCTTCTGCTCTAAGCCTTAAAATATGACGTAGATTCCGACCAGAAATGTTTTCCGCGCTGCCTGAATCTCTAATCTCTAAGCTTTAAACGAGTTGACCAGATCTTAGCTCTTAAAACTTACGACTTAAAATTTTCGATCGATATAATTCTAAAGGCTAAAGGCTTACTATACCTATTGTAGATCCGGTCAAAAGATAATAAAAAAAAAAAATATATATATATATATAAAGATTGATTAAATTTATATTTTTTTGTAGTGAGAATAATTCGTTCCTTAACAATCATCTATTTAATTCATTATTTCAGCTCACATTATTATTGATAATTTGTTCAGCCCAATATATATTACTTAAAATTTTTTTTTGTATTTGATTCAAATTAACAATCAATTCCGCAATAATAATAGAGATATATTTCATATATATCTCTTTAATTATTATCATTATTATATTTAATCATTACAATATTAATGTATGTTTTAACATTCTTTTTCATTAAACTCATATGTCATGTAACTAAGACAACAATCTTTGATTATCTCATATCTGCCTCATCAAAATGCAGAACAGAGACGTCATTGCGTTTATTTATTGTAATAAATGTGAGCAGCTGTTCGCCGAAGTCAAATACAGATATGAATTCAATATAAAAAGAAAGTAGAAAGAGTTGTCTTCATTCCCAATTTTATTTCGACTGAATAAATAATTTTATTGTCAATCATTTTATTGTTTTACTTATGAATATAATTTTACGCGATACAAAGCATTTATTTCAAATGTAATGCACGTTATGGAAACACAAGTATCATATCGATCAAACATCAAAAGTGACACACGTTGCCACGCATGTTCAGGTTGCAAAAAACAGCTGTTAACAATTCAAAAAGATATTTAATATGTTTATAAAATAGTAAGCTATATTTTTTCAGTATGCGACTTCGTCTTTAAAGAAAGTGTCATCATTAAAATGTATTATTTTATGAATATATCTTACAGATATTTCTATCGCAGATATGAACATTTATAACAGCGAAGAAGTGAAACAACAAATTCGAGATATTCCTTTTATAAATCATTCGGAATCGAAGAAAAAGCTCGACCAATTCGATGTAAACTACGGTAAAGAATTGCAATCCCCAATACTTGGTTATCGTTATCAACTTCCTAATTTGCCAACGACTTATTTACCATCCACAACTTTGGACACGTCTCTATTACACGTAAGATGCAACGGTATATCTGTAAGGATTATATAACTAAATATTATCAACCTGGCATTTATTAACAAAATATATATTATTCGTAGATTCCCGTTTACGCTCATTTGAAAGTATACGATTTGAAACCTGTGCGACTACCGGAGACCCCAAGCATTTTATCGGCGTTACATTTGCAATTCTCGTAAGTATATCTCGCGCATTCTTTCCCTCTAAGTATCACGAGATATAACATAGTTAGATATTTGATTTGTAGAGAGGACACTGTATTGAGTAAATCCTCGAGAGAAATATCATCGACCGCACGAATAAGTGAAGAAGACAGAGTATCCGTTTCTCGCAGTGTCCGCGATAGTACAAAAAGTGCGTATAAAAATTGATAAAATGTAAAATCATATGAATATTTCGTTTCAATAATGATGATAAATGTAAATACAAATATCAAAAAATATACTAAAGCGATATTATTCCTGTAAGATAGCCTGATAAAGAAATTATCTATTTTCAATATAATAAAAATATCTTTAAATTGTAAAGAATATATAGCAATATTTACCTTGAAAAATATCATTTATCAATCCTTTAATCGCACTATTATAAAACTCCTCTTGTCCAACGTTAGAAGGAAAGACATAATTAAACGTGAATGCCTTATCGGTATTACGTATAAGAATTTGTGATTCTCCAAGTGTAACATCTAAGCATATTTGACATTTTTTTTAAATTTCATTTTTCAATAATGGTCGGATACGCAAAGCAACACTAACAGTATTGTCGCACATCTAAAAAAAAATGTTACATATGCATATTCATCAGTAGTTTATCAAGAATATAAGACAACATATTAAACAAGATAATTTTTATCATTATTTGATATATATACCCAGACAGCACAAGGATGTCCTTAGGACGTCCAAAGGGCATCCAGGATATACATGTAATGTTTGTTTTTCTCATGTACCCATCAAAATGTGCGCATCAAATTCAATTATTAATATTAAACGAAATTAATGTTAACAATTAATTGCACATGTATATATCCTCTGGAAATCCAAAGGACATCCAATATAATAGACAGGGTAGATATCCTACAGACATCCATGGGTTATCCAATGGGACATTTATAGGACATTAATACTTCCCAGCAAACACAGAATATAACTGCTATATAACATGGGAATAACATGTAGTTCTTTCTCGGTTTGTCCAAATAATTTAAGCACAAACAATTGTACATATGTTTATATAAATAATATTTATATTTTACCAGCCAATATATTAAATAATCAAAGACAGTTTTAAATTATTTTGATGAAAAAAAAAAAACATTTATCTTGTCATCTATAATAGAAGGAAATTTTCTTGAGTCTTAAGATTTTAAAATTTCAAAAGTGACTCACAAACCACTTTTATCGTTGCTTATATTGTTAAATACAATATGTCAAAGCGTATATTTTTTGTAATATTGCTAGAAAACTACTTGTACTTACTTTTAATACGATTTCTCGAAAGTTAGTAAAACAAATTAGAATATGAAGAAATTAGCGCAAATTCACGCTCACAGTTCACAGTTCACAGTGCTATTTTGCCAATTGCCAGAAACAGATCCCGGCTTACTGGCTCGGCAGTAATAAAGGGGATAACGCACACAAGCGTGAACGTGAACCGCGTACGCGTTGTGTAATGCATTATCAGTTACTAGTACTGGGATTGGTCTCCAGCGTGTGCGAGGTTAGGTCAAGTGATTATTTTTCGTCTCGATTCAAGCACGTGTGAGTATATTAGAGTGCTTGTTTAACGTCGGTCTCGTGAAAAATGACACAAGTCGCGCACGAGGACAACGAATTAAAAAGATTGCTCAATAATCCAGCGAAAAATGTGTGCGAAGATGGATCCATGGCTCCGCCGTTATCGGTAAGTTATAAAATACATCTGACCACATATGCGAAATTTCTAAAATAACATAAATTTCACTTGTAGACCAATGTACCAAGACCAAGCACATCGCAAAATATCAATCCGCAATCGGCGATGAGCCCAATGACACCGGCCAACAGCGCAAAGGACGTTTGGGAGCCTTGCCTACAGTGAGTCTTGAATCATATGTTTACATAGCATACATATCGTGACACTCATCTCGCTATGTATTATGTGTAATATCCTTAAAGTTGATCTTTGCATTATTTTTGCAGAAACGTAGTCTCCACAGTTAACTTGCAGACAGAATTGAAACTCACTTATATTAACGTAAGAACGAGGAATTCTGAATATAATCCAGCGAGGTTTACCGGACTGATAATGAGAATACGGAATCCTAGAGCGACAGCATTAATCTTCAGCTCAGGAAAATTGGTATGCACCGGCGCGAGAAGTGAAGACGATTCACTTTTGGCAGCAAGAAAGTTTGCCAGAATAATTCAAAAGCTTGGATTCCCTGTAAGCCATATTCACAATAATTTTTTCTTATGTAGAAATAATCTTGAGTTTTTAATTATCACACTATACTTTTTTATATTTCTGTAGGTAAAGTTTTCCTCTTTCAAAGTACAAAACATTGTTGCAACATGTGACGTAAAATTTCCAATTAAACTGGAGGGTTTGTATCGAGAGCATGCTCAGTTCTGTAGTTACGAGCCAGAATTATATCCTGGCCTGATATACAGAGTGTTATATCCTAGAGTAGTATTACTGATATTCGTGAATGGTAAAGTTGTATTAACAGGTACGTCTGAATATTTTATCACGTAATATTTTATAGAGAAAAAAAGACACTACAAAAATGAGATATTTTGTAAAAGAGGTAAGAAATTTTATATAAATTAGTGTGATATTTTACAGGAGCAAAAAATAGATCCGAACTAAAAGGTGCATTGAATTTTATATATCCAGTATTAATGCAATTCAGAAAGATGTAATCTGTTCGTACACAGAACAAAAATGCTGTCATAAACAAAATAATATGATGTAAATATATAAAAGTTAATTGTATGATAAAGAGATATGTATTAGGTACCTAATATATTTGAAAATCTCTGTCAGATGAAAGAAAAGAATTTATATTTTGTACGTTTATACATTTTTTGTATAATGATATAAGATGAGTATGTGTAATTGATGTGTTTTATATATTCTGCGATTCTAATATATAATACACGCAATTTTTAATTTAGACATAAAATTATGTTAGAAAATATTTGAAATTATTAATTTTGGCTATACAATTGTATATATTTTCTTGCATATATTTTACTGCTCATGATTAGGAAAAATTAAGAGAACACACACGCTTTTGTTTATTGTTAAAATATATGTATATTTTAGAGACTTTACACAATAAAGAAAATAAACATCATTATATATATCGATATATTATATCAAAATAATATATAATTGACAAACATAAATCCATATATAGACAGTTTATACAGTTTTTACTATACCAGGATTATTTTATGTGTACATGTTAACATTTACATAATAGTAAAATTCCTTCAGGTATAATTTAGATGTAAATATTTGGATATGTAAAGTTTAATGGAGCATTCAATCGCTATCGAATACAGGAAATATTTTATAAATATTGCCAAGTATTTCCAAATCCTGCAAACCTTACAAAATACCTTTATGTATTCTTGATTGAAGATTGAAAGAATATCAATATGTGCCGAAAAATTGTCGCTATTTCATAAAACTGAATGATTGTATGAACTATAGACTTTATAACGTTAAAATGTATACACATTAATATAATTATATATATCTGACAAAATTTCTATACATATTAACAGCTCTATAAGAAGAAGATGTGTATGTATATATATATATATATATACATATAATTTAATACCCGCTGATAAAGAGCCATGGTCCATTTAAGAATTTCGTTCGTGCATATCATCAGACTTTTGGAAAACGTACAATACTTCACAATGTTTGACGCTTTAACGCTGCGTAAATGCGTGTATTTTGTTTATTATCTTTTTTTAAGTGAATCGTTTACAACTATTATGCATCTGATCGTTTATGTCAAGATTAAAAGTGAAAATTAAAAATTTTCAATTTTTTTCGGTATACATCCGAAACTTTAATAATGAAGTTTATGGTATATGTTTCCATTTTCCTCTCGAGCGATCGTGTGTTTACAGTTTCTAATTAATCGATCACATGTATACCTTTTTTCGCAGCTATCGGTAGTTTCTCCCCTTGAAAGAATGGGTTCTCTTCCTGAAAGAAACGTTAACATAATTTTAATGTTCATATTTCTCTTTCCTACGTGAAGATAATATTTAATTTTTCCGATTGATTAGATCGTTCGCTAAAATTAACATACACGGCAGTGTGCCTCGGTTACCTGGAATTGTTCGACGATTTGATCGATATCGGAATTCGAAATTTGCACGTTTGACAGACCATTGCTATTTTCGGTATCGCTAGAGCATTCTAACATGTGTTCCGTGTCGCACATGCAGTCCTGTGCGCTCTGATAATCGCGGCTAAAAGCCGCAGTGTTTTCGAAATTGATGAGACAATTGTTCTCGGCTGTAAGTTTTAAACCATATATATTTTTTGTTTTATCGTTTTCTAATAGAAAAGAAAAGATATATTTTTTTTAAGAGAGCAGAGATATTTCCGAAAATTTTTTAAATATTTAGGTCTATTAAAAATAAAAAGGCGGAAAGAGAGGAGGGAATATTTAATGTAAATCTAAGATACGTGTATATAGAATATAATCTTTACGATCGGAAAATTCTAACGGCATTTATCATTCCGATCTCGTCTAATTGTTATCAAAAATAAATTTTATTTCACTCACTAGTGTATCCGACCGGACAGGGATTCGGAGGGGTGCAATAAGCGGGTAAAGGATTTTCCGTCTTCTCGTCCTTGATCCCTTTTAGACCGGTCGATTGAATCCTGTGTCTGTCGTTGCCTTTATTATTATTGTTATTAATACGTTGATGACTCCACAGCGTGCTATGTCGCAGATACTCTTGATCCCGTATACTCGGATTCGGATTTAGCGTATCCATGCCGTCGTAATCGGCCGGCAACTCTATGGGTAGTTCCTTGACTTTCTCGGGATATTCCAGGTATGTGTCGGCTGCGTTGGCGAGATCATTTCCCATCTGATTGATCAGCTCTCGAAGAAAGGCGTCGGTCAACAAATTTTCCTCCTGGGTACATTCGAATAATTAAGTCACATATTCTTTGGATGCTCCGCGCGGATGAATTAAAGAAAGAGAAATTTACTTTCCTTCGAAACCGATGATTGATTGGCTTGGAGATCGTGCAATTGTCTCTCATTTACAGATTTTTATTCATTTTAATTTGTAGAAAAAATAATAATTAGAGACTATCAAGAATCTTTTCAGAATTAAGATGTAGATTTGTGTATCTCCTTGTTCTTAATTGAGATACAATAATGATATATATGATTTTTCAAGGGGAAAAGTAGAAACCCACACTCAAAAAAGTGGTTTTGCAACTACAGCAAAAATTTTCTGGGTGCGCAAAATTAACTGAGGTACATAAATGATTAGCAAATACTGTGATATCGCATATGTTTCGCATTTAATCAATCTAAGTGACAGAGACAGAATTTATATCTGAACTGTTTGTGAAATTTAGAAAGAATGTTTTTCTGTGGCGCCTATCCATGTTAAGGCCAATCATACTTGTTATTACGTTTGGCTGTGGTACACAGAAAAGATTAGCGGCAAGAAACAAATGAATATATAATCCTCACATCTAACATATTTGTATAACGGGCCCAATCTATCTAGCTCTTTTAAACAATTTCTCTCAATTTTTCGATGCTGCAGTTATAATTGGCAGTTATATTTCTCACAAAGATCGTTCTAGCTGTAGTATCGAAACTCATATTTATCCAATGCAGTGATTAACATTTGGCAATGGGACCTAAATTTTCTAGAAGATATTATTAGAATGTTGCTGCTATAAATTCTATATGTAACAGACAATATTCTAACAGATACAAAAAATAGCGATAAATTTTTGTTGTGACACCTAGAAATCTACCTATATCAGCAAGACATTTTTTTGAGTGCAGAAACTTTTCAATCACTCTCCGATTTCGAAGGCGTTTTGTTTCACGGAAATAAATTCTCGATTAATTTTAATTCATCCATTTTTTATATATAGGACTCTGTTCTGATAATTACCTTGATCGAGGGCAAATAGACGTTCGCCTCTGTAGCGACAGCGATCAAAAGCGAGAGGAGGAAAATGCAATACGGCATGATGGTGGATGCACACCTGAAAAGAGAATATAACGTAAAAGGTCATTAATAATTTTTTTTATATAAAAAAATTTAAAAATGCATATTGTCATTTAACTATATTATTATCATCGCATATCGTTGACAATTGTGAGAGAGCTGAGAACTCTTGTACGCGACGAGTTTCTTCCGTGATAGATTCTTGGAGCACATTTTTGCGTCAATTATGCAGGTATGTTTTTAAGGAAGATGGGGAACGCCGACGGAGGGGATGGTCGTTCCATTTCTTTTTCTCACGCTATGACCTCGATATAAAAAAACTCACCGGTTGACCGGTCGACAAGTGGCTCGGGATGACAAGGGGCAGCCCGACGTGGACCAAATATCCTCGCGTTCCAGCTGCACACGCACACGCGTACCTCCTTCTCCTCGTCGTCGCGACGAGCGCCGTTCGCGGTCTCCACGAGCACCAAAGTATTGATTTTACCCTTTTTCCCATCGTCGTCGTCGTCGTTTTCCCCTCGTTTACGACCACGTTTCGACGACGTGTTACGTCGTGTCGCCTACCACCTACGATCCGATCCTCTCTCGCCAGCCAATCCACATTCGCAGAATCGGGCCGCTGCCAAAGGTCACTCGACGTGACCGATGTGCGTCACGTGGTCCGGAAATGGGGCTACCTTTTGAATGGCTGATGAATGGCACTGATACGATACTTTAGTTATATACTGAACGCCCTGTCAACTTTTTTATATTGTATAAAATGTAAATTTCTTTTAAAAAGAGATTGATTTAAACGTGACTTAATTTTTGTATATAATATAGGATGCATTTTTTTTTTTATTCAACGTCAATGGCTCAGCTTGAGGCGGATCTCGTGACGATATTTTTGCGGATAAATCGGAGTATAAAAATTAAAATTCTGTTTGATGTGCTAATTGCTCCATTTCTCCGCGAATCTCCTTTATTATTGGCAGTTTTCTCTTTAATTCCGCACGTAATTTAAAAATACACTTAATCTTGCAATTTGTATAATAATATATCTTTCTTTGATGCAGAATTATCCTATTAATTAACAACGTACCTGTTATTTGCTTATCTAAATGGCATTCATGAGCAACGGTTACGCAAATGTGATTTGTGTGCAGGACACGTCGTTTGGATAATCCGATATAAAAGCCACAGCTCTCGTAGATCCTGAAGTCCTGCCGCGCGGCTATAAAGTATATAAAGTACAAGGTCTTTTTGTTTCACGCGGACATGAGGCGCGAGTTAACGTCATAAAAAATGTAATTTCTTCTCGTAGTCACATTCTCTCCAGAAAGTGAATAATCTTGTTTCCCCAACTATGCCACGTTTTCACTCCGCATATTAACATCATACTAATATCACTACGAATTGACTCGAATACTCGTTGTTTTATGTAGCAATTTTTTTACAATGTACTATGAGAATGCGAAGCAATAAAAGGAGAAAGAAAAATATTCTTCTGATTTTTAATTCATCAAATATTGAATTACATAAAATACAGAATATTTTTTTCTTTTTACTTGTGGATGTTGTAGCAAAAAAATAAAATACAGATCAAAGAAGAGAGAATGATAAAGATAAAAATATGAATAACAAAGTTCATAGAAAATCTCGGTGTTATATATTCGCGGATTATTTACCTCTCCCTCTCGTAATGTCTGGATCACTTGTTCATAATATAATTATCCTTCGCAAAATTTTTTTATCAATGTGCTTAAAATTGAAGAAAATAAAAAGTACCAAATTTTATAAAAGTTTTATGAACAAGTACAGTAGCGGTCATTTATCAAGCCGACACTTTCATTAAGCGTATCGGTTATATATAGGAGAGTTTAAATACGATGTGCAGGTGGTGGGAAAGGGAAGGGGAGATGGAAGATCAAAAGATCCTTCCCTCGTTGTTACGGTCGCATACAAACGTCCATTAGTCGGTTGCGCATTGCGTGCCGACAACTCAATTTTCAAAATCAAATTTTCCCTTGTACCTCTCTGCGGATTGATTATATTTATCGCGTTGATACATCCTCTAAAATGTTCTTAAATTGCTTCTTATCACATTACCCAAAAATTTCAGTACGCTCTTCTTTAATGAATAATGATCGATAAAACGATAAGAATTAATATGTATATCGGGTGACCCGGAATAATCGCTTCTTCAGTCGGTTCTTTACACTATATGTATGAAATAGCCAGCACTATCTAATCTTTATCGTCCTGCGTTAATATTTACGTGACAATTAAAAGCGAAATCTTTTTTTTTCTTATTTCTCCCGAAATTCCCGGCGGTCCAATTTTCCTTTGGTCGATCGAGCATTTTCTGTCCAGATTTGTGCGTGCGATATGACATTATTTATCAGCGCGATGATTGGCAAATGTATCACGGCAATTTGTCGAACATGTCAGCCGAGAGAAGGAATATCGGGACATTCTTGAAGCTCCGTGTAATTTCCCAACGTACATCCGGCCGACAAATCCCCGGTTCGAAGAAAAGTCCCCGTATCCTGATGCCGAAGATTCCTGCACACAATCGGAATTATATCCGCGTAGATTGCATCCGTTCGATGTCGAATTATTCCGGGGAATGCCTGCAAACGAACCACACATTGCTTTCATTTTTTATTTTTACACACGGTATAACGCTTACGGATATCGTACGACGAATCGTGGGATTGATAATATAACGTAACCGGAAGTAGGATCGCGCGAAACCAACCGACCGTGCTTATCGTAGGCACGATATTTCATGCTTAATGTACGGAAGGATCGATGATGGAATCATCGACGTATCCGGTCGACGATATGTTCCGATGTTCTTTATTTAGATTTCCGGATTTATTTACTACTATGTGGTGACATTTGCGCGCGATAACTGCAACAGTTGACGCAATTCTGCACATCTCAAACACATCAGTTTGTTCAAAAGCTGCGATTCGAGAATAGCTTTTGCAACAATTGCATATTCAGAGACAACTGTCATCATTTAATGAAATTCTTGATTGCATAGTCAAAGATGAAGGATTTACCTTCGAACAATTAATTGCTCTACAAACAGTCAATTGCGTTAATAATCATGTAAGTTACTTTATTATTACCTCTCTTTTTACTATTGCATCACTCAAAAAAATGTCTTGCTGATATAGGTAGATTTCTAGGTGACACAACAAAAATTTATCGCTATTTTTTGTATCTGTTAGAATATTGTCTGTTACATATAGAATTTATAGCAGCAATATTCTAATAATATCTTCTAGAAAATTTAGGTCCCATTGCCAAATGTTAATCACTGCATTGGATAAATATGAGTTTCGATACTACAGCTAGAACGATCTTTGTGAGAAATATAACTGCCAATTATAACTGCAACATCGAAAAATTGAGAGAAATTGTTTAAAAGAGCTAGATAGATTGAGCGCGTTATACAAATATGTTAGACGTGAGGATTATATATTCATTTGTTTCTTGCCGCTAATTTTTTCTGTGTACCACAGCAAAACTGTATAACAAGTATGATTGGCCTTAACATGGATAGGCGCCACAGAAAAACATTCTTTCTAAATTTCACAAACAGTTCAGATATAAATTCTGTCTCTGTCACTTAGATTGATTAAATGCGAAACATATGCGATATCACAGTATTTGCTAATCATTTATGTACCTCAGTTAATTTTGCGCACCAAGAAAATTTTTGCTGTAGTTGCAATACCACTTTTTTGAGTGTACGATTATTCTCACAATACTTTATGAATTATCTATGCTTTGTCTTCACAAAATATAATACTTTAAAAAATTATATGGAGATACATTTTTAAAGTTACAATTAAATATTCGCGCATGAGAGAGCGTTAGATGCGCGGCGCATTCGTTTTGATACAGAGGAAAAACGAAAGGAAGGAAGTCGCTGCACCGTAACGACTGATGTTTCCGTTTGGAGCAGCGGCGGCATAGACGAAAACTCGTCGGCGGAATAAAAGTTCCACCGGTGCTTCCACCGGAAGCAGCAGCCGTTGCGCCATTATCTATTTCGTTTTTCATTCACATACGTTCGGATGCAGGTGTGAGTACAGCTTTAGGTACGGAACACCTACGAATAATATAGTTGAGAGCGTAATAGCTCTAAAATAACGAGAATCCACCACCAAGATAAAAATTTCCACGTAAAATTCTATTCCATAAATTAATAACGTATTTTAATTAAAGTTAATGAATCAATGCGGGGAACAACTTATAGTCTCATAGTCAAAATTGCACGCTGTTACGCTTTGCTATGACTAGCTATGACTAGCTATAAGTTTCTATAAGCATATTCTACTTATCGAGATTATAATTTTCGCTTCGTGCCAATCCATTTGTCTGTCGATTAGATGCAACGTTAAAATAGTGCATTTACTGTCTTACTATAATATAATGCATAGCCGCTTTCTCCACGTTCCTCAGAATACATATTTCATAAAAGAATGTAAATATTACACATTTATGTACCATATTATTCATTTACTTAATTAATGAACTTGTTATTAAGAAAAAATGTGTAATTATATAAAAGTTCTAAATTTATTTGTTATATTCTATGAAAAATGTTTTATATTTTATAACTTTCGCAAATACTCTTAATTGCAGTTTTTAATTACATATTGATTAAAGATTTTTATTTATTTTTTTAAATAAAAGCACATTTAATTGCACACTCAAAAAAATGTCTTGCTGATATAGGTAGATTTCTAGGTGTCACAACAAAAATTTATCGCTATTTTTTGTATCTGTTAGAATATTGTCTGTTACATATAGAATTTATAGCAGCAATATTCTAATAATATCTTCTAGAAAATTTAGGTCCCATTGCCAAATGTTAATCACTGCATTGGATAAATATGAGTTTCGATACTACAGCTAGAACACTCTTTGTGAGAAATATAACTGCCAATTATAACTGCAGCATCGAAAAATTGAGAGAAATTGTTTAAAAGAGCTAGATAGATTGGGCGCGTTATACAAATATGTTAGATGTGAGGATTATATATTCATTTGTTTCTTGCCGCTAATCTTTTCTGTGTACCACAGTCAAACTTTATAACAAGTATGATTGGCCTTACATGGATAGGCGCCACAGAAAAACATTCTTTCTAAATTTCACAAACAGTTCAGATATAAATTCTGTCTCTGTGACTTAGATTGATTAAATGCGAAACATATGCGATATCACAGTATTTGCTAATCATTTATGTACCTCAGTTAATTTTGCGCAACCAGAAAATTTTTGCTGTAGTTGCAATACCACTTTTTTGAGTGATATATGAATAGATAAAAAGTCGATCCAAAGTATTCTTAATATCGTGCAGCGAATCGCGATTCTAGATGTTCCTCTGGCGTCGGGACATCTCGGAATTCCTCTGTCGGCGCGATTGTGGGAAGGGGACTGTGGGGGAAGAAAAGCGGTATGCCGCGTGCGTGGTCGGCTCTGCGTGGGGTTGTTACGCTCTCTCGCCGTCACGAGTATTGATCCCCGCCCGGAGGCCGCTACGTGAATGGGTTACGGCTGTCTCGCACCATATCGCAGAATTTTCGGACGGTCCTCTCTCTGTCGCGCGCCCTTCGTCTCCTCGAGATTTCCATCTCCCTTCCCATCTCGGATCCCCGAGGGAGCCTTTGTATATTTCGCTGCTGGTCACCCCGGCGCGCGCGGGGGTGCCACCGATATCAACACGCGTCACGCATCGCGTACTCTTATCGCGGATGATATGGGATGTCGAATGCGCAGCTTGCAAGAGAAAGGGAGAGAGAGAAAGTACAGATTGCCTTTTTATCGTAGAGGGATAATATAAAGCTCATTTTATTAAAAAAAAAAAAACGATTTAAAAAAAATATTGTCTATTTTATTATTAAAAAAAATCAAATTTTTTAATCTTTGATTTTTAGAGCCACCCAAACTGTAGATTTGTCCGTAAGATCTATATTAACTTTACTAAAAGTTGACTCGATGCAATTCTTATGCGTAATTGTTTTTTGCTTTTTATTTTCTTTCTTCTATTTTAAGGGTTTTATGTAATACATATATACTGTGTGTCGTTCCTAATAGCAAGCATATTAGCATATTTAGCTAGTCGTGCGGTAATAACGAAGTTAAGCAATTTAACTGAAGGGAATACGCGACAAATTGTCTCGTATAATTGCGTCAGCCGGTCTTAAAAATGATATAAGAGTCCAGCACGCGCATTGAGGACATTATTATACGATATTAGAAATACGAAATATCTTGTTTATTACGCGAAAAAAAGTGTGTTATATCCATACAAACATGTATATAAAACCGTGAATATAGGAAAGGAATTCAATTAGCTGACATAATTTTTTATCAAACCTATCTTCAAGATATCACGGGAAGGGATTGGTAGTGACATTTCTAGAGGTTGTACATATATTTGTTGTTCATTATTTAGAATGCCTATTGTAGAGGCAATATCTAGAGACTGTTTAAGACATATATGTAGAAAATTGTTATAAAATTATAATATATATATTATAATCGTGTGCAAAATTTTAATCTCCTATCATGACAGACGACCAGCTATATGTGTCGTTTAGGAACGAACAAACATTATCGGTAATAAAATATTGCTTATATAATCAGTTCAATTACTTAAATTAAATAATTAAACAATAAACAATAAATATATGATAAGATATAAAATTTAGTATTTTATCTTTGTGCGTCAAATTGTAAAACGTGCTCTTTTGCTGTAATAAAAATTAAAATCATCACTTATAAAATTGTATATATATGTATGTACAACTTTATAAGTGATGTTTTACGGTTTATTTTTCTTATGTTACAGAGAGAGAAAATATAATTCTTAAAACTTTTCTCTCACGTCTCGCTTATATTTTAGATAAATTTATGCGAATATACAAATCGAAACGCGGCATTCGATTTAGAAACATATGGACCTTATCTCGACAAGATTCGAGAGCTCTTCGTACCCAGTCTGGAATACAGAATCCATTCCTTGTTGAAAGAGTTCGTGTACAGCAGGGATTCTCGATGGGCAATGCAATTTCCATATTTCAAGAAATTCGTCGATGCGATAACCACTTGGAGAGATCCTTTAATTAAAGCGGCCGAATACGATATCGGGACGATGGAAAAAGCGATAAGAAGTACTGTCAAACGCGTAGTGAAAGACGATCTGGTTACCAGCTTCCTGGATTCTATTACTCTGCATTATAGATTGAATAAAATTTGCCGCGAACTTGATGCGCTAGGAATCGAGGACAATATCTTGCGAAGCCTGAACGTATGGAACTTTGTCAACGAGAAGAAGTATCGAGCGGATCACGATTACATCACGTATGTGTGAATCGGTATAATCTAAAATCACGTGCATCTGTCGACACGACTGTCTTGATTATTTGCATTAGTCATTATGATAAAATTCTAATTTAATTGAAAAGTTATTTACCCACATCAAAATAAAACGAGCGTTTGACATCGTCCTTTGCTTATTATCGTGCAAA